GGTTCATGTTCTGGCTGGGCCACTCTAGGACATTCAGAGACTTGTCCGGAAGCCACTCCTGCGTTGTTTTGGCTGTGTGCTTAGGGTCGTTGTCCTGTTGGAAGGTGAACCATCACCCCAGTCTGAGGTCCTGGAGCAGGTTTTCATCAAGGATCTCTGTACTTTGCTCCGTTCATCTTTCCCTCGATCCTGACTAGTCTCCCAGTCCCTGCCACTGAAAAACATCCCCACAGTATGATACTGCCACCACCAGGATTCACCATAGGGATGGTGCCAGGTTTCTTCCAGACGTGACGCTTGGCATTCAGGTCAAAGAGTTAAATCTTGGTTTCATTAGACCAGAGAATCTTGTTTCTTATGGTCTGAGAGTCTTTATGTGCCTTTTGGCAAACTCCAAGCGGGCTGTCATGTGCCTTTTACTGAGGAGTGGCTTCCGTCTGGCCACTCTACCATAAAGGCCTGATTGGTGGAGTGCTGTAGAGATGGTTGTCCTTCTGGAAGGTTCTCCCATCTCCACAGAGGAACTCTGGAGCTCTGCCAGAGTGACCATCAGGTTCTTGGTCACCTCCCTGACCAAGGCCCTTCTCCCCCGATTGCTCAGTTTGTCCGGTCGGCCAGCTCTAGGAAGAGTCTTGGTGGTAACAAACTTCTTCCATTTAAGAATGATTGAGGCCACTGTGTTCTTGGGGACCTTCAATGCTGCATAACTTTTTTGGTACCCTTCCCTAAATCTGTGCCTCGACACAATCCTGTCTCGGAGCTCTACAGACAATTCCTTCGACCTCATGGCTTGGTTTTTGCTCTGACATGCACTGTCAACTGTGGAACCTTATATAGACAGGTGTGTGCCTTTCCAAATCATGTCCAATCAATTGTATTTACCACAGGTGGACTCCAATCAAGTTGTAGAAACATCTCAAGGATGATCAATCGAAACAGGATGCACCTGAGTTTAATTTCAAGTCCCATAGCAAAAGGTTTTCTGTTTTTTATTTTTAATACATTTGCAAACATTTCTAAAAACCTGTTTTCACCTTGTCATTATGGGGTTTTGTGTGTAGATTGATGAGGAACATTTTACATTTAATCCACTTTAGAATAAGCCTGTAACGTAACAAAATGTGGAAAAGGTCAAGGGGTCTGAATACTTTCCGAATGCACTATAAGTCTATGATATCCCTGAATCTTCCCCTCCCCATATACTAACCCCATTCCTGCTCCTCCTCTCTCTAATACCTCTTTTCATAACCCCAATGCTCATAGCCTCAGCCCCATTTATGTAACCATATCAATATCAAGTATCTAGCAACAAGGCTGTTACAGTATGTGCCAACATAAATCCGCTCACTCACACACACACACACACACACACACACACACACACACACCCGGAGAGACACACACACACATAATTGGAAAGATAAACACGGCCCACACAAACACACACCAAGACAATGGTCCTAGTGCCTCTCACTTCTCGTTTGGAAAAAAACTCCATTCACATCCACTTATTTTTCTGCTCACTCCTGGAGCCAGTCCAGAAGTATATAGCCCCCACACAAGCACTTCTTCTGATAACCATAACCTCACTGCTCAGTTTTCATATAGACCAGGGCCCGTATCCACAAAGCGTCTCCGAGTAGGAGTGCTGATCTAGGACCAGTTTTGCCTTTTAGATCATATTAATGAGAACATGGACAGATCCCAGATCAGCACTCCTACTCTGAGGGGCTTTGTGAATACGGGCCCTGACATTCAGAACAGCAGGCTTCTATGATTAATGGACTGTTCCTGTTGGAATAATACCCTGGTGTGTTGCCCTTCAATTATCACAGTATAAAAGCATCTACTGCTTGCACTTCATTTTTAGAAGTGTGATCAGCATAAAGTGAAGCCCTGGTGTCTTCTCATGTTTTGTCTAACCCAGGATATTAATAGCTGAGAGGTCTAGGAGTTATTTTCTGTAATGTAGCACACTTCTGCCATTGACTTCAACTAAAGAGGTTCTCTGACATAAAGCTTTCACCAACTTAATATACTAATCCCATTACTCTCGGTTTCTGATCAGATTTCCTCCAGTCCCAAGCCCTGAGCATTATTCAGGTAAACCCTAAAACAGATCTTAAAACTGGTGTGTGTGTGTGTGTGTGTGTGTGTGTGTGTGTGTGTGTGTGTGTGTGTGTGTGTGTGTGTGTGTGTGTGTGTGTGTGTGTGTGTGTGTGTGTGTGTGTGTGTGTGTGTGTGTGTGTGTGTGTGTGTGTGTGTGTGTGTGTCCAGCATGGTCAGAAGTAGGGTGCGTGACTGAGACCAGAGTGTCAGCTGCTCATCACATCAAAGGGTTGTTGGCCTTCCTGAAAGACCCCTGTCAACACACACACACACACACATAAACTCCTTGTTCCTGAGACCCCCCGTCTGCCCCCCCGTCTGCCTCCTAAACAATCGTCAGTCTGTGTCCCCAAGGACTGCCCACCGCACAGAGAGACAGACAGGAAGAGATCCCCCACTTATCCTACAGTGACCAGTCACACATGCACGCACACACACATCCAACAGCAGCACTTTAACTTTTTACACATTTTGTTGTGTTAAAAAGTGGGATTAAAATGGATGTAATCCTTTCTTTTAACAACCTACACAAAATACTCTGTAATGTCAAAGTGGAAGACAAATTCTAGCATGTGTAAAAAAATTAAAAATAAAAATAAAACACTAATATATCTTGATTAGATACGTTTTCAACCCGAGTCTTTACATGTTAGAATCACCTTTGGCAGCGATAATTGCTGTGAGTCTTTCTGGGTAAGTCTCTAAGATCTTTGCACACCTGGATTGTACAATATTTGTAAATTATTATTTTACTAATTCTTCAAGCTCTGTCAAGTTGGTTGTTGACCATTGCTAGACAGACATTTTCAAGTCTTGCCATAGATTTTCAAGCTAATTTCAGTCAAAACTGTAAATAGGGCACTCAGGAACATTCAATGTCATCTTGGTAAGCAACTCCAGTGTACATTTTGCCTTGTGTTTTAGGTTATTGTCCTGCTGAAAGGTGAATTTGTCTCCCAGTGTTTGTTGGAAAGCAGACTGAACCAGGTTTTCCTCTAGGATTTTGCCTGTGCTTAACTCTATTCCTTTTCTTTTCATCATAAAATAAATCCCTAGTCCTTGCCGATAACAAGCATGATGCAGCCACCACCATGCTTGAAACTTTGTATTCAGGACATAAAGTTAATTTCTTTGCCATATTTTTGGCAGTTTTACTTTAGTGCCTTATTGCAAACAGGATGCATGTTATGGAATATTTGCATTCTGTACATGCTTCCTTCTTTTCACTCTGTCAATTTGGTTAGTATTCTGAATTAACTACAAGTTGTTGATCCATCCTCGGTTTTCTCCTATCACAGCCATTAAACTCTAACTGTTTTAAAGTCACCATTGGCCTATTGGTGAAATCCCTGAGCGGTTTCCTTCCTCTCCGGCAACGGAGAGGAAGGACACCTGTATCTTTGTAGTGACTGGGTGTATTGATACACGATCCAAAGTGTAGTTAATAATGTCCCCATGCTCAAAGGGATATTCAATGTCTTTATTTATTTTACATCTACCAATAGTTGCCCTTTGTGAGGCATTGGAAAACCTCCCTGGTCTTTGTGGTTGAAATTCACTGCTCGACCTTACAGGTAACTGAATGTGTGCGGTACGTACAGTAGATGAGGTAGTCATTCAAAAACCATGTTAAAAACATTATTATGGCCACTAACTGTAAGTCGCTCTGGATAAGAGCGTCTGCTAAATGACTAAAATGTCAGATGTAAAGGCAACACAGAGCTAGTCCATGCAATGTATGTGACTTAAGCAAATTATTACTCCTGAACTTATTTAGGCTTGCCATAATAAAGGGACTGAATACTTGACTCAAGACATTTCAGCTTTTCATTTTCAATTCATTTGTAAAAAATTTAAAAAATAATTCCACTGACATTATGGGGTTTTGTGTGTAGGCCAGTGACAAAACAAATCCAGGCTGTAACACAACAAAATGTGAAAAAAGCAAAAGGGGTGTGAATACTTTCTGAAGGCACTGTACATGGCCTTGCATAGGCTCAAATGCAGAACATTCACACCCCTAACATCAACACAACTAAAATATTAAAAGTCTGAGATTCTAGGCACATTTATAAAGCCTATCCAAACACAAACCAGATGGAAACTAAAGGTCATTACCGTAGAGGCATACCTTCACAAAAACATTTGGAATTTTGTCAAACAAAAAACGCTGATAACCAAATTCAACACATAACTTCTCACTACAATTAACCACACCTCAAACATTTATTCGCAATCAGACTGCATGGTCCCCAAAATAGTCACCCACGTGAGGTTAACAGCCAGGCACAGCAATAAAGCAGCAGAGACTCTACACAGGACCTTCTAGAAAAAGTTGAAGCCTTTACCAGGTCCAACAGTTGTTTTATACCTTTTACATGTTCCCACTAATTAGGGTCCTAGGGGAAAACCTGACCGAAACTTTGTTTCCTTCCCTGTCACATGACTGTAAGTCGCTTTGGATAAAAGCGTGTCTGCTAAATGGCATATTACACAAACAATTTCAAACCCTAAAACGGTTTAATCAGCAGTATGCGATAATGGACTCCATTTTGTAGTCTAGCGGCGCCCTCTGATGGCTGAATAAACTAAACACAAGGTGCAGGTAAAGTATAAAGAGATTAACCGGATGCACCCAGAGAAGAAATCTGGTAATAAATGTGAAACCTGGTAGAAACAGCCTACGATAAACATATATATATATATATATATATATATAATGTAATAAAGGAAGAATATGGCACGGTTTATTTTACAATAACAAACGCAGGACGGCGCTACAAGAATATGTTGTTTTCCCAACATTGTGCACGGGAGCACCGCCTCCTTCCGTGTGTCGTTGGCAGTGTGAAAGTTCACAGGGCATGCAAAGGTCGTGTTTTTAGCGAGCTATGGCTGCCTTGAGTTGGTTTACTTGCAGACAGCTGCCGCGGATTGCATCTCAGTTCGCTCGGGTTGTGAAGCACGTCAGGCCGCAGTACCTCGGGGGACTGCGGGTGAGGGGAGTCCACGGGTCGTCGCGGAAATGGGTGGTTGAGAAGGGGCCATGGGACAAGGCTCGGATGCCAGAGTATCATCAGCTGACAGAACTCGATAAGGCGGATGCCTTGGTAAGTTGAACGCGAAAGTAATGTATTGCATTTCCATACACCATGAATATACTCCTGGATTACAGAAATGATGTGTGTGCTGACATGAAGCACCTTTCTAAATCACTGCTATTTTTTCAAATGTTTTGCTCTGCAGATGCTGAGAAAGTCCCACGAAACCGGTAAATGCACATTTACTTGTGCATTCGGAAAGTATTCAGAGCCCTTGACTTTTCACATTGTTACGTTAGCCTTATTCTAAAATTGATAAAATTGTTGATTTTCCCTCAATCTACACATAATACCCCATAATGACAAAGCAAAAACAGATCTAGAATTTTTTGTAATTTTATTACAAATAAACTGAATTACTACATTTACATAAGTTCAGACCGTTGCTCAGTACTTTGTTGAGGCACCTTTGGCAGCGATTACAGCCTCGAGTCTTCTTTGGTATGATGCTACAAGCTTGGCACACCTGTATTTGGGGAGTTTCTCCCAGTCTTCTCTGCAGATCCTCTCAAGCTCTGTCAGGTTGGATGGGGAGAGTCGCTGCACAGCTATTTTCTCTCCAGAGACGTTCGATCGGGTTCAAGTCTGGGCTCTGGCTGGGCCACTCAAGGACATTCAGAGCCACTCATGTGTTGTCTTGGCTGTGTGCTTAGGGTCGTTGTCCTGTTGGAAGGTGAACCTTCACCCCAGTCAGAGGTCCTGAGCGCTCTGGAGCAGGTTTTCATCAAGGATCTCTGTACTTTGCTCCGTTCATCTTCCCCTTGATCCTGACTAGTCTCCCAGTCCCTGCTGCTGAAAAACAGTCACAGCATGCTGCCGCCACCATGCTTCACTGTAGGGATGGTGCCAGGTTTCCTCCAGAGGTGACACTTGGCATTCAGGCCAAAGAGTTCAGTCTTGGTTTCATTAGACCAGAGAATCTTGTTTCTTATGGTCTGAGAGTCCTTTAGGTGCCTTTTGGCAAACTCCAAGCGGGCTGTCATGTGCCTTTTACTGAGGAGAGGCTTCCGTCTGGCCACTCTACCATAAAGGCCTGATTCGTGGAGTGCTGCAGAGATGGTTGTCCTTCTGGAAGGTTCTATCTCCACAGAGGAACTCAGGAGCTCTGTCAGAGTGACCATCAGGTTATTGGTAATCTCCCTGACCAAGGCCCTTCTCCCCCGATTGCTCAGTTTGGCCGGGCGGCCAGCTCTAGGAAGTCTTGGTGGCTTCCAAACTTCTTCCATTTAAGAATGATGGAGGCCACTATGTTCTTGGGGACCTTCAATGCTGCAGACATTTTTTGGTACCCTTCCCCAGATCTGTGCCTCAACACAATCCTGTTTCGGAGCTCTACGGACAATTCCTTTGACCTCATGGCTTGGTTTTTGCTCTGACATGCACTGTCAACTGTGGGACCTTATATAGACATGTGTGCCTTTCCAAATCATGTCCAATCAATTGAATTTACCACAGGTGGACTGAAGTTGTAGAAACATCTCAAGGATGATCAATGGAAACAGGATGCACCTGAGCTCAATTTCCAGTCTCATAGCAAAGGGTCTTAATACTTTTGTTAATTAGGTATTAATGTTTTTTATTTGTAATAAATTTGCAAAAATTTCTATAAACCTGTTTTCACTTTGTCATTATGGGGTATTGTGTGTAGATTGTAGATTTTATTTAATCAATTTTAGAATAAGGCTGTAACGTAACAAAATATGGAAAAAGTCAAGGGGTCTGCGGCGGCAGGTAGCTTAGTGGTTAAGAGCGTTGTGCCAGTAACCGAAAGGTCGCTGGTTCTAATCCCCGAGCCGACTAGATGAAAAATCTGTCGATGTGCCCTTGAGCAAGGCACTTAACCCTAATTGCTCCTGTAAGTCGCTCTGGATAAGAGCGTCTGCTAAATTACTAAAATGTAAATGTCTGAATACTTTCTGAATGCATTGTAGATTAGGAAGAAGTTTAAAGACAGGCTATTTATTTAATTACTATGCTATGCATTTTGTTAGAATTCCTGTTGGTACAGTTAGACCAGTTATTGTAGTGTAAGAAGAGAAAGAAGATCTGCATGCATCTGTAGGCTGTGTTTACACATCTGAATCCAGGAACTTGAGCAATATGGGAGAAGCTCCTGACTGCAAACACTGACAGGGTTAGAGGAAGGGATGAGGGGTTGTTTTCAGACTGGGATGTAATCTCCGTGTTGTTCTGTTCTAGGGTTCCTGTCTTGGTTCCGTAACGGACTCCTGGCCACCGGGATCGGGGTCATCGCTTTCGTCCAGAGTGACGTGGGACGAGAGGCAGGATATGGTAAGGAGGCTAGGAGGGCCAGGGGCAGGGCTCTATTCTAGTGGAGCAAAGCATAATTATCAGAAAAGTATTTTAGGTTACTGAAACACACCCACCCACACACACCCGTTATAAATATATATTGTAGTCTTTCTCTCTCTCTCTCTCTCGCTCTCTCCCCCAGCCTTCTTCATCCTGGGTGGTGTGTGTGTATCGTTCGGCGGGGTGTCCTACGTGGGCAGCCTGTTTTCCCTGAGGAGGATGATGCTTCTCTCCCTGCCTGCCGTGCTGCTGAATGTTGCTGTGGTGAGCAGCATCGCCCTCTTCTGGCTGTGTGCGGTATCGCTCTACATCGGACGCCTGGAGGTGGAGATTATACATGAGGATGACGATGACGGAGGGGAGTGTCCAGACTGTCGGGACCGCCGCGACCGCAGCAACCACTCCCATGGTGATAGGCACCACGGCAACGACAAAGGCCAAGACAAGTAGAGCGTTTGAGTGGCAAAGGTGACGAGGTGTGTGTTTGTTTCTTTGTGTGTGAGTGAGTGAGTGAGTGAGAGAGAGAGGACTGAGAGAGAGTGTGTATGACACTCAAAGACATGTGGGAATAAAGGGGATCAGTGAAAGGGATGATTTGTGTGTTGTTTGGTTCTATCCTCTGTGATAGTAGTTTGTGTGTGTGGGTGATTATGTGTTAAATTGCTGTGATAAAGGGTTCATTTTAAGTTAATAATATCAGATGTTGGATTTTTTTTATTTAGTTTTATTTTACACATACACACACAATCTGTGAGAGTGCCTTGTTTGACTGTATTTACTCCTGATTATGTTTACTTTATGAATCAAAGAGCCCTGTACCATTACAAAGCCATACTCTGAGCCAACTCATGCTGTGTTCACCTAAATATGGTTTTGATTGATGCTATTTTTTGCTATCTATACAAAGGACTACTTGGATTCTCTGTAGTCATCAATGCTGGTGACATAGAATGAGGAGATGTAGCCTATATTGCTGTGTTGAATGGATGCATTTTGTTGAGAAACTATACCATTTGTATAACCTGTATGGTTAGTGTTTGTCTGAGATGATACAGAGTACATTTAGGTATTGTTAGCCTGTAGCCTGATCCACCATCCTGACCTGACCGCTGCGCTACAGAACATTAGCTTGCGAGACCTTGATGGTGGAACGAGGTGAGTTAGTCTCTGGGGTAGAGGTAATCTGTATGGAGTTGCAGTGTGATGTACTTGATTTCTGCATGGACTTCTGTACAACTTATTGTACATCATTAGACTTTATGTATGTATGAATATGTACATAAACACAGTTACAAAATCAAACCGGTGTTATTGTTGTGTGTTTAACCCCATATGTGAAAAGACTACTGTATGTTTGTGGTCAATGCTACACAGGATTGTATTTTATTTTTGCATTGAAATTTCAGAAAATGTCCATAATATATTTGCCGCTAATAGTGGAATGATAGTGTTTCACAGTACTACCTATCCACCAGTGCTGTTCTGACTTTGTGGCTGTGGTATCTAGTGGAAATCGCTCTGTCATTTCCTTGGTTGCTAAAATTCTACACTGTTCTCTCAATTTCAGTTTATGTGAGAAAAGCACTGAATAGTGTAGAGAATCATTGTACCATCTAAATCGCTGTGAAATATGTTTTCAATAACAAATATAGTTTTTACAACTGTTGAAACAAAACCGAAAGTAAAAGGCTCAACTGGCATATTCTAATTTCTGAAATTACAATGCAAAATTAAAACATTTCCTATGTGTAGCACCTTTAAAGAGATCAGAATTTTGCACACACAAATTTAGGTTTATCTATCAGATTTCACACCATAGAAATGGAATAAAAATATGAAATCAAAATGGCTGACATTCCCTTAATTCGTGTTGTGTAGTTCCTATCACTCAACCAAGCATTGATGCCATGTTTTACTCCATGGTCCTCTCTGGGTACACTACACACAGAGTAACACCTCAGTGCTGTCTGGAGAACACAGGGAGGGGTGATTATAGTGAACACTGAGTAGGTTACAGCCCAGGTGTGGGTTATCTCTCTCATCCATCGATTCACTGGAGAGGTGAGAAGGTTCGAGTCGAGGCTTGAGCTGCTGAGACTCACCTCTCTGTCCTGAGGTCGGAGGCCCATCCACTTTCTACTACTCTCACTTTTTCCTCTCTATATCAGTCTGTGTCACTCAGGTAAACTCCAGTGCTTCTTACTAACCATCCCTCTCTTTCCTTCTCTTTCTCTCCACCCCAGGCGTTTTGGTGCAGTTATTTTCTCATGCAGGGTGCGTCTGGGTGCTGCATCGTGCCCCCCCCCCCCCCCCACCCACCCACCCTGTTTGACATGCAGGCGGCTCCTGGGGCCTGGCGCGTCTAAAGGGCATGGCGCCAAGCAGCACGCGCCCACACTGACAAACACCCGGACCATGGACTGACTCACAACATCACCAACCCACCTCACGGCACCATGGCAGGTTATAGATGAGCATATTACCCACCCCTCCCAACCGGCACAGAATAGAGGATGGAGGTGTAGCAGTGAAAGAATGAGTGGAACAGGTTGGTGTTGATGAGGACGGAGAGATTGAAGGAGGAGGGGTAATAGTGTAAAATGAGTGGTAAGATTGAGGGAAGACGAGGTGGAGAGGAGAGGTGGTAAGGGTGGTGTAGTTGGGGATTGGATGGAGGGAGGAGAGGGGGTGTAAATGTGTAGTAAAGGAAGGGGGGGGGGGGGGGGTCTACCTTCAGTTCTCTCTCATGTTTTCCGTTTCAGTGTCAGGCCCATGTGCCAAGGTACTATTTCTCTAGAGACTGCAGCTCCATTCAGGGGCTGAGATAAGCCTTCAAAGTCACTGACATACAGACAGCCAGGGTGGAGGGTTGAGGAGAGACGCCCATGTCCCCACAAACCCACAGTCCCTATCTGAGATGTAGAGACACACCTTTACTACACCCACAGGCTATCAGCTGAAGAACTCACGCCTGAGAAAGCAAGAGATAAAGGAGGAACCTGAGGTCATTTTTTAACTCTCTTTACACACACACACACACAGCAGACGTGCACACACACACACACACACACACACACACACGCGGCAGGCACACACACACGTACACTCACATTTCTCCCCAACAACTGCTCTTGTTTAGTATGCGCTTCCTTTGGTCTTGAGGAGGACTGATCCTCACTCTAATGAACTGGGGCCTGCCACTTGAATGTAAAACAGGATTTAACCCGTCTTCAATGTCAGAGCCCCTCCCTAGGGCTGCATGGAACAACACAACACCCGCTCTGAAACATACACACGTACGGCCACACACACACAAACACTGCCTCAGTCACACACATGCACGCGCACACACACCATTTGTCTAAATCTTCAGAGCCATTACTTAGAGAGGTTTGGCTCATAAACCTGGATATACAGTATACTGTCTAATGGGCATGTTCTCTCTGCACCACATCAGGCCAGGGTCACTCAAACCTGGTCTACAAGGACCAATATGGATGATGGTTTTTACATCAGGTACTTTTTCATTAACATTGTTATGCACCTTGTGCGTGGCAGGTGTACATATACTCAGCCATCACCTTCATCTTAAGGTGTCTCGAGACATCTTGAGACATAAAGTTGAGATGACTTGAGACACTTAGAGATCTTTTAAGACATCTTAAGATACTTTTTGAAGGCATGTTTCGAGACACGCAGTATCTCGGCCCACTCTTCTAGACAGTCAGTCAGATACTAGAAAGAAATAAGAAAACTTTATTGTGCTCCTCTAATGGAATATTTTATTATTGTCATCAGTATCATCGTTTTTATACATTGGTTCATTTTAATTTGAAGATCAGAAGTGGATGGTATATTCACAAATATTTGAACAGAAACGGGTTAGAGTCACAGTTATGGAGCGGGTTAGTTTTTTTTAAAATCTGGACTTATTGTAGTAGAGCCAGTGGAATTACAACTAACGCAGAGTGATAAATACAGACGGACAGACATCCCCTCATATGACAGCTATGGTCCTATACAGCCGACATCCCACCCAGTCCATCAGTAACGCTTAATCTATGACCAGGACAGCGGATTAAGATCGGGACGTTTTAATCTCACTATAATTTCAGTTTGGGATGATATGTCTTTCTCTTACGACCTCACAATATTTTGGATGGAATCTCTGGTGATGAGTATAAAAATGAATATCTTTGATATTATTTAATGTATGAAAAATGTACCCCTGTTTTCCACCCCACCTCTAATGACCTAATATGGATGTTTTGGACAACCACTTTGAGAACAAAAAGTGAGTTATTTTTTATTTTCCACAACTGTACTAAATCCCCATGGTCATGTTTGAATGACCACATGTTTAATGACCATGTATTTAACTCCTGTGGTCTTTCTTTAATGACCCTACATTTTGTGGTCTGCTTGTGTTATTCATCATGACCACTCTTGTATTTAACCCTTAATACACACAAGGAAATTCAAAAGTGCTATGTGTCCATAACAAATTTCAGTAAGTGCTCGAACAATTCTTGTGAATAATTTAAAAAAGATTCCCCCCTCCCCAAACCCTTTATTTTTTAATACATTTGTAAAGGGTTTTTGAATTAAACTGTGGCATTTCCCAAAGTATGTCCTCTAGTAAGACAATCGTTTTTACACCCCTCCCACTTCACCCTATGGCATCAACATGACAATATAATAGGAATATGGCTTTCATCTCATACACAGCACAGCTCAGCACAACACTTCATTCTGTAGGATCATTTTCAGTTTTTACAAGACTGAAAACATTACAAAGTGACCAGCCAGTAGAGGTATTGCACCTCCCCATATCTTTCTTTCCCAGACGACATCATGACAGAACAGTCTCAGAGTGGAATGGAATGTATCTGGGACTCTCTCACTCTCTGTGCTTTCACTGTTTCAAACCCTCTTCAACAGGGTTCACATTATGGAAGGAAGGAGTACCCGAGAGGTGTTTAAATATTATTTTGGGCTTCCATGAGATTGGCTCAGACCTCTATATTTCCACTTTTGTGTCAGAGTATCATTTCTAACTCTGTTTAAGAGATGATTCAGTATTTCACACAAACAAGTGAAAAAATGTCATCCATTTCATTCACACAGAAATCAGTCTGACAGGCTCAGGAACAGTTGTTATGATACTGAGGATGGAGTAGTGAAGGTATGTACAGTGGGGAAAAAAAGTATTTAGTCAGCCACCAATTGTGCAAGTTCTCCCACTTAAAAAGATGAGAGAGGCCTGTAATTTTCATCATAGGTAGACGTCAACTATGACAGACAAAATGAGATTTTTTTTCTCCAGAAAATCACATTGTAGGATTTTTTATGAATTTATTTGCAAATTATGGTGGAAAATAAGTATTTGGTCACCTACAAACAAGCAAGATTTCTGGCTCTAACAGACCTTTAACTTCTTCTTTAAGAGGCTCCTCTGTCCTGCACTCGTTACCTGTATTAATGGCACCTGTTTGAACTTGTTATCAGTATAAAAGACACCTGTCCACAACCTCAAACAGTCACACTCCAAACTCCACTATGGCCAAGACCAAAGAGCTGTCAAAGGACACCAGAAATAAAATTGTAGACCTGCACGAGGCTGGGAAGACTGAATCTGCAATAGGTAAGCAGCTTGGTTTGAAGAAATCAACTGTGGGAGCAATTATTAGGAAATGGAAGACATACAAGACCACTGATAATCTCCCTCGATCTGGGGCTCCACGCAAGATCTCACACCGTGGGGTCAAAATGATCACAAGAACGGTGAGCAAAAATCCCAGAACCACACGGGGGGACCTAGTGAATGACCTGCAGAGAGCTGGGACCAAAGTAACAAAGCCTACCATCAGTAACACACTACGCCGCCAGGGACTCAAATCCTGCAGTGCCAGACGTGTCCCCCTGCTTAAGCCAGTACATGTCCAGGCCCGTCTGAAGTTTGCTAGAGTGCATTTGGATGATCCAGAAGAGGATTGGGAGAATGTCATATGGTCAGATGAAACCAAAATATAACTTTTTGGTAAAAACTCAACTCGTCGTGTTTGGAGGACAAAGAATGCTGAGTTGCATCCAAAGAACACCATACCTACTGTGAAGCATGGGGGTGGAAACATCATGCTTTGGGGCTGTTTTTCTGCAAAGGGACCAGGACGACTGATCCGTGTAAAGGAAAGAATAAATGGGGCCATGTATTGTGAGATTTTGAGTGAAAACCTCCTTCCATCAGCAAGGGCATTGAAGATGAAACGTGGCTGGGTCTTTCAGCATGACAATGATCCCAAACACACCGCCCGGGCAACGAAGGAGTGGCTTCGTAAGAAGCATTTCAAGGTCCTGGAGTGGCCTAGCCAGTCTCCAGATCTCAACCCCATCGAAAATCTTTGGAGGGAGTTGAAAGTCCGTGTTGCCCAGCGACAGCCCCAAAACATCACTGCTCAAGAGGAGATCTGCATGGAGGAATGGGCCAAAATACCAGCAACAGTGTGTGAAAACCTTGTGAAGACTTACAGAAAACGTTTGACCTGTGTCATTGCCAACAAAGGGTATATAACAAAGTATTGAGAAACTTTTGTTATTGACCAAATACTTATTTTCCACCATAATTTGCAAATAAATTCATAAAAAATCCTACAATGTGATTTTCTGGAATTTTTTTTCTCATTTTGTCTGTCATAGTTGACGTGTACCTATGATGAAAATTACAGGCCTCTCTCATCTTTTTAAGTGGGAGAACTTGCACAATTGGTGGCTGACTAAATACTTTTTTCCCCCACTGTATGGTCCTGTCTCTATGTACAATATGGCTTTTCTGAGTGGAAGAAATAGACATGGAACTCTGCACAGTCATTTAACAGCAGCGGAGAGAGGATACGGTAGAGCAGAGCGGGGGGACAAAGCTTGGACAGCTAGTGGGGTAAAGTCAAGTGTCAAAGTCCACTTTGAGTGTCACCCATCCTGTCACCTGTGTTGGACACCATCTGACTCCCCATGGAAGCTGTGCAAATGGTCCTTTGTTCAGTTTCCCAACCCCATATGTCCCAATGTCCTGCCCCCATGTCTCTCTCTAGCCCCTCCTCCTCTCTTTCAGTCCTCCTCGGACCCTGCGGCCCCCCTCAGTCCGTTCATACAGAAGGGGTTGAAGGGATTGTCAGAGGCGGAGAACCCACTGAAGGAGGGCAGGCTGGCCAGCCTCTGGAGGTGGGGGAAGAAGGCTGGGGGGCCCTTGTGGTGGTCGGAGCGCAGCCCCTCAGCACCGTGGTGGGAGGTGGGCAGCTCTGGGGGCGCATAGCGGATGGTACTGGGGGCATACAGGCTCTGTGGCCCCTGGGGGCCGAGGGCCAGGGGGTGGAACAGCACCCGTCCTGCAGCACCCCCCGCTGCCAGTCTATGCAACAGCTCAAAGTCAGACCCGCCCCCCCGGCCTCCAGACAACATGCCCCGCTCCTCAAAGGGTAGAGGGGAGGAGCCGGACATGGGAGGGGACATGGCGGGAGAGGGTGGGGTGAAAATACCTTTGGGTGGGGCTTCACTGCTGGAGGAGGAGTCTGGGATAGGGGTGGGGGGACTGTCACCGTTCAGGCTGCCGCAGGGTGTGTGTGTGTGTGAGGGTGGGGGTTGTGTGTGTGAGGAGGTGTGTGTGTGTGTCCAGCGACCCCCTGTGGCCAGTGCCTCATGTTCAGTCTTAATGTTGGGGGGACCAGAGAGAGGCGAGGACACTACACTCTTCAGGTGCTGGATTACCGCACGGCCGTTGTGCACCCTGCCACCTCTCTCGCCCCTCATGGGGGTCTCCCCGCCTCGTTTCGAAGGCCCCTCCTCTCGTTTGACCCTCCCGCTGTCTCCCCCCTGCTCCCACTCTCGCTCCTCTCCCTCGCTCTCACTGCCCAGGTCTGAGGAGGCTGACACACTCCCCTCTCTCTGGCGAAACTCTTCCAGGCGACGCCGCGTTTCTGGGGGAGCACCTTCAGAGTCAGATTGCAGCGGACGCTTCCTCCTGTCCCCTGATTGGACGCCGGGATTATAGATCTCTCTCAGTTTAGAGTCAGGGTCACCTTTACACACAGAGCTTTTCATTGGCTGTGGGCCTGGGGGGGAGAGTTAGATATGTTTTTCATGAGGAAAATGTGGATGTATCATTACATTTTAGTCATTTAGCAGACACTCTTATCCAGAGCTACTTACAGGAGCAATTAGAGTTACGTGTCTTGCTCAAGGGCACATTGGCAGATTGTTCACCTAGTGGTCTCTGGGATTTGAACCAGCGACCTTTTGATTACTGGCCCATTGCTCTTAACCGCTAGGCTACCTGCCGCCCCATCATGTATGTTTGTGTATGTGTGAATGATTCAATGTACAGTACGTGTGGTGTGTGTGTGTCTGTTTGCCTGTGTGGTTCCTTACCCCGGGCTTGGGGCGAGTGTTCCGAAGGGGAGGAGCTGGCTTTCAGACGCTCCGCCCTCAGACTCTCTGGGAGCTGCAGCAGATCCAGGGGAGTGTCTGGGAGCTCTGTCCGACTGAGAGAGAGAGAGAGGGAGAGAGAGAGAGAGAGAGAGAGAGAGAGAGAGAAGAGAGAAAGGGAGAGAGAAAGGGAGAGAGTAAATAAAATAAAATAAATGCACCTTTTACAGCTCTTGAGTGCTGCAGCAAACCACTGTTTATGTCTCCTGATTTAGCAAGATGGGTGCAGTGAGTCCTTTACAGATATATGGTCTTAGATTAAATTGTGTATTTTGTTTTGTCTCCCATCAACTTCCTTCCTACCATTACCCTCATCTATCAACAACCCTCTCCAACCATCCCACTTCTCCACTAATACCCCCCATCAGTTACTCCCAACCCGCTGTATCCAACAACCCCCCCCAATTGCACGCACACACACACACACACACACACACACACATACCAGCCACCATTGCTCTCCCGTAGCCAGCCCTGCTCCACTCAGGAGCCCACCCGTAAAGAACTGAGCCCAGACAGGATTGGGGGGCTGCTGCTGGAGAAGTTAATGAGCACTTGTAATTACAGCACTAATTAACTAAAACACCATTCAGACCCAACATTCTGACATCCATTTGTTGTAATTATATAGCGCTGCTCCAATTAGTATTGTAATTCAGCCTGTTCCCCTTGTTTTTGTCTGACTCCTCTCTTGCTCTGTGTGTCCATGTGTGTCTGTTTGTCTTTGACTGTGTATGTGTGTTTAGGTGGTGGGGGTTGTGGGGGTTGTGGGTTCCAAGAGAGAGACAAAGGAAAATATAGAATTTCCTTGAATCCATGTGCGAGTACTTGTATCATATAGGTGTTGTAAATGAACAAAGCTATACATAATGCTATAATAAAATTAATTACTGTAATTACAGTTTAGTATATAAAAATGACGGTGGCCTGAAGGAGTTGGACTCTTTGTCTAAGAGCATAATGTTGGATGTGTTGTGTGCTGTGTTTGACCTAAGGCTACTGTGGTGACGGGGCTGACTAGCGACGGGGCTGACTGGTGACGGTGCTGACCTGATGACGTAGTTGACCCAGATCACGTTGCGTTCGTGGGGGGCTTTGTGGTTGATGGAGACAGTGGCACAGGACTGGACCCACAGATACCCCCCTCTCCTCTGGAGCCAACGGTAGTACCCTGTCACCACCTGACCCTTCCTCAACACTGGGAGAGAGAGAGCGAGAGAGAGAGGGAGGGGAGAGGGGGAGAGAATAATGTGTAAGTTGGAATAGCACTACAGGACTTTGGCAGCAGAGGGCGCTGATTGCAAAATATGAACTTAGTCAAAATGTTAACGTTCAAAGGTACACGCACGCACGCACGCACGCACGCACGCACGCACGCACGCACGCACGCACACACACACACACACACACACACACACACACACACACACACACACAGGGTGGGCATTGACTCACAGTCCTCATGGCTCTGTCTGATGTTATCCAGGTCTTCTACGTGGATGAAGTGGTAGCAGGTGTGTCCCACCACCTCAACTGGGCTCAGGTCCATGTACTCTGAGATCCTACAGGGAACAATAATGGTATTATCCACATGATGTAAACATATAGACGCACATACACAGGCAAACAAACACATACCATTTCTTAATTTAATCAAATACACCCACAAACATCTTCACAGTACAACCATATATGCACCCCATACAGACATCTGTCCCTGTGTGTAGCTGTGTTGTTGTGTTGTTGTGTTGTTGCTGTGTTGTTGTGTAGCTGTGTTGTTGTGTTGCTGTATTGTTGTGTTGTTGTGTGTTGTTGTGTTGCTGTGTTGTTGTGGTGTTGTGTGTTGTTGTGTTGTTGTGTGCCGTTGTGTGTCACTGTAGCTGTACCTGTTCTCGCAGTAAGTGACCTGCAGATCCATGTTGACCCGGAAGACAAACATATGGCTCTCCATGCGCACTTCGTTCAGCGTGGAGGGAGGGAGCGTGTGCGCAAGGGCCACCAAGCCCATTGGCCGACGCACCGAGCGGGCGGAGCCTGGCACCATGGCAGGGCGACAACGGATTCGCCCGGTCACATGGATCACCTGACAGGAATAGAATAGAGTTTACAACAACCTGCATGGTTGTACATGTACAGTGTATCTACTGAATGAATGGTGAGTACTACATTACTAGAGTTGCAAAATGTGTGTAACTTTCAAAAATTCTCAGGATTTCTGGATTTACGAGGGAATAAACAGGAAAACAGAATTTTGCTACCCTATACATTACACACAGTCTGAATAATTTCTAGGAATGGAGAGTTTGATGTCTTTATATATGTCTCTTACTCTGACCTTGTAGCCCGAGGACTTGACGTGGAGGCCTCTCTTGGTGAGGGTGGACTTCATACGGATGAAGAAGCCTCGGTCAGGAGGTTCGTTCCCAGGAGAGAGAGGGCTTGAGGGGGCTATGACGAGACGAGGGGACGACAGTGTTAACTTGGGAGCAACCACATTTGGACAAGATTTGGACCACATCAGAGACGTACCAGGCTCGGGGGTCCCGGCCAGGGAGGATGTGGAGGCAGAGCTGGAGGCACTCTCGGGTGCCACGTGGCAGCCAGCCTCGGCCCTCAGGTGGGGCCTGATTCCCAGACGCTCTGCCATCTCCACGTGGTCCGCAGGGTGAATGTAGTCAAACACACTGCTGCCCGTCAACTCCACCTACACACAATCAAATGTAGATATGAGACAGGGTGTAGCACAGACACAAACATACATGCATGAACACATGAATGCACACTACCACACACACACACACGCACGTCACACACACACCACTGAGCTGGGGGGCAGACACAGATTACAATAATACACATATAACATCGGAAGGATAAAAATCAATTGTATTTGGTGATTAAAGTAAGCTAAAACACAGCAGGGATATAGCATCTCTGAAGGTCAGATTTTACTATTTTAATCTGTTCATTCATTCCCTATTAATTCATAGGCATGAGCGTGTCTAGCCCACTCTCAGAAAGGGATAAAGAACACTAACACCTCCCAGCTATCATCCTCGTGCATCATAGTATCCTACTCTAATAATTTAAGGTAATAATAGCAGTGCTCTTGCATGGCACCCATAAAAACACAATCGGAGCGGGTTAGATTCCATTCCATCTGATAAAGCGCCTGCCTGCCTGCCTACTCCCTCCCTGCCTACTCCCTGCCTACTCCCTCCCTGCCTACTCCCTACCTGCTCCCTGTCTGCTCCCTGCCTGCCTGCTCCCTCCCTGCCTACTCCCTGCCTACTCCCTGTCTGCTCCCTGCCTGCTCCCTCCCTGCCTGCTCCCTGCCTGCCTACTCCCTGTCTGCCTACTCCCTTCCTGCTCCCTGTCTGCTCCCTGCCTGCCTACTCCCTGCCTGCTCCCTGTCTGCTCCCTGCCTGCCTACTCCCTCTCTGCTCCCTGTCTGCTCCCTGCCTGCCTACTCCCTTCCTGCTCCCTGCCTGCTCCCTGCCTGCCTACCCCCTGCCTGCCTGCTCCCTATCTGCTCCCTGCCTGCCTGCTCCCTGCCTACTCCCTGCCTGCCTTCTCCCTGCTGGGCTGCCTGCTTGGCTGCCTGCCTGCAGCCTCACACCCTTGTCTGTAGGACATACCCATTTAGTGCATGATTAGAACCATTTAGTGTGGGCTTTATGGGATTTCCAGCAGGCATTAAAGGACATCACAGCCAGAGAGCTGAGCGAGGGAGCACAAGTGTGAACAAAGAGAAAAAAAGGAGGGCTAACTCCTGTAAAGTATAAAAAACTGAAGGAGAGAAGAGGGGAGTAAGTAACGAGGGATCAGCGGAGAGATAAAAGTTTTAAAACAGCCCGGTGTTAATGAGTTGCTAGAGCTAAACGAGACGTAAATGGACCAGAATCTCCTGGCATAGACAGGAAGTCAGCCCTGGAGGACCCCAGGCTTCCCACAGTCCTTTGCCCTCCCTCAGTAAAGGGCAATACAGACGTCTATGGTACTTTACCTGTCAGTCTACTGTCAGTTCATCACAGGGAGGAGAGAGAGAAAAACCTTTTGGGGAAAGAGGCAGATGAAAGATAGAGGGAGAGAGAGAGAAAGAGAAAAGAGAGAGAGAGAGAGAGGAGAGAGAGAGAGAGGAGAGAAGAGAGAGAAAATAATAGAAGAGCGAGAGAGAGTCAGATAAATACAGACGAGCTCATGAGAACTCTCTCTCTGATCTCTCTCCCTTCTCTCTGCGCTCCCCTTCTCTCTCTGTCTCTCTCCATTCTCTCTCCCTGCACCTCTCTCCTCGTCTCCTCTCTTTCCTCTCTCTCTTCCCCTTCTCTCCCTCCCCTCCCCTCTCTCCCTACTACTCCTCTCTCTTATACATTGTCTCTCTTCTCAACTTTTCCCCTCTCCTGCTTCTCTCTCTCTCTCTCCTGTCTCTCGCTCTCTCTCTCTCTCTCCCCTTCTTCTCACTCTCCTCAACACTCTCTCTGCCTCATGATGGTAGGACCATGCATGAGCTATGATATCATAACTAGCGGGTGCTTTACTTACTGGGGCATCCGTTCCGTCGTCTACAACCACTCTCTACCCCCCACTGCTTCTTTTTGGGATATTCCCGCATCAGGAGGATGGGGGTGCATACTAGTCCAGGATCAATTCCCCGCACTCCCTCCATCCATCCGTCCTCCCTCTGCCGTGGTAGGAGGTAAGGGGGGTTGAGCAGCAGGACCTGGTGTCCCGGGTTCAGAGCGGGCCTCTCCGCCCAGGAAACCTGGGGTGAGGGACATGATCACCTCCAGGTAGCAGGAGAGCGGACGGCGGGTTCTGCCCTTGGTCAAGGTGCCTGACCTGAACATAGCCGTCTAAGAAACCCCACTGTCTGGAGAGGGGCCCCGTGGGTAAGCCGGGGCAGAGGGGTTCGGCTGGGGGACAGGACAGGGCGGTCCACAGAGAGATCCATGCCCTCCAAACAACAACCACTAGTTCTATCTCCCTTCTCACTTGTTTTTCTCTCTCTCTATCCGTCTCTCCTCCCTGAGAGACAGGGATTTGTTCTCTTCTCACACCTTCCTCCCTCTTTCTGTCTCTCTCTCTTTTTTTTGACTTTCAGTGTGTTTTGGAATTAACGTAAATCTTGATTGTAATTTTGTTTTAAGGCTGGTGGGTTTAGTTCTGTTTGAGGAGACTAGTGAGGCCATCTGTTTCATGAATAATAATGGCCTTTGTTGTTTACCTATTCAGTCCCATGATACATTTCACTTCAACCGCACATTTAAGCTCTATTTGCATACCAAAATCCCCAGTGCGCTATTTCTCTCTCTCTTTCCATTGCCATTTGGCTGTGTAGTCTTTTCACACCTGTTCAGATATATTTCATAATTTGATTTTAAGTTTGTGTTTACCAACAGTTAACAGGAGAAATACCGAACTGTGACACAAACACACCGGCACACACACACACACACCACTACTAGCCTCTCTCCAGGACAGTCCAATCCAACCAGGGGTGGAATCCCAATCTCTCCCAAATCCCCCCTTTTAAAATCCACTCAAATACCACCTCTATTGTAATGTGTTCCCTCTTTCCTCTCTCTCATTCTGTATCCCCCCATCTTTTTTATTCCAAACATATCTTATCACTCCCTCCTCTCCTCCCTCCCTCTTTCTCTATCCCTATCTGTCTTCCCATCCCCCTTGGTGTTTTTTCTCCTCCCCACAATCAATGGGGCTTTTAAGATGGCTATCGATTTGCTCCCCTAGACAGGCCCTGCGCGCAGGGGCGACACTTTGATTGTTGGGCCAGTAATTACTGTTATTATTTATGCATCTGGTCGAAATGGCAGGACTTAACATTCACAGTACAAGAGGCCACAGGCAATCAACAGAGGTTAGCACCTGGAGGGAGGAAGGGAGGAGGAGAGAGCGAGAGCGGAGAGAAGCGAGGAGCGCGAGAGAGAGAGAGAGAGAGGAGAGAGAGAGAGAGAGAGAGAGAGAGAGAGAGAGAGAGAGAGAGAGAGAGAGAGAGAGAGAGGAGAGAGAGAGAGAGACAGACAGACAGACGAGACAGACAGACAGAGGAGACAGACAGACAGACAGACAGACAGACAGACAGACAGACAGGCAGACAGGCAGCAGGACAGCAGGCCAGGCAGGCAGACAGGCAGGCAGACAGGCAGGCAGCAGGCAGGCAGGCAGGCAGGACAGACAGGCAGGCAGGCAGGCAGGACAGACAGACAGACAGGCAGGCAGGCAGGGCAGGCAGGCAGGCAGGCAGGCAGGCAGGCAGGCAGCAGGCAGACAGACAGACAGACAGACCAGACAGACAGACAGACAGACAGACAGACAGACAGACAGACAGACAGACAGACAGACAGACAGACAGACAGACAGACAGACAGACAGACAGACAGAGACGGAGAGACGGAGAGACGGGGAGGGAGAGGGAGAAACTAGAGAGACAAGCACAAGAGAACAGTCGAAGACATCCAGACACACACAAAGGTGGGAACACACACACCCAAACACATTACAACATCTGATATGAAAAGAGAGATGATGGGAGTAGCCTGTATGAGTGAGTGAGTGAGTGAGTGAGTGAGTAAGTGTGTGAGTGTGTGTGTGTGTGTGTGTGTGTGTGTGTGTTGTGTGTGTGTACAGGGCCTTACCTGTGAGAGGCCCAGGTAGATGGAAACAGTCTCTGATATGTAGAGGAAGCGTCCCTCCGAGCTTACCACAAACACAAAGCCGTCCAGAGACTGTGAAAGTAACACACAGTCAGACAGACAGACAAATTAGAGCAATTAGTGTGTATTGAGCAAATTACAATGAACTGCTGCCTGCCACTGGAGAACCACCAGCAACCAGCCCTTCACCGCTCAGTCTCGCCCCCCTCTCCCGCCCACATCAACAGTCCTGTTGGCTGGCCCCTTAGGTACATACGACACACTACTGGTAAACACCACCAGCCTGTTCATAGAGTCAACAAGACACATTAAACACAGAGCAGAGAAGAGCAGGCAGACACCAGTGGAGCTGTTTCAATCAGTGTTAATAACAGTAGGACGGTATGGTGTTTCCTGTTTTGTTGTGTATGTCTGCTGACCAGAAAGACCGGTAGGTTGGTAGAGACAGAGGTAGAGATAGGGAGTGGTGATTATGATGATAAGTGAAAGGTATACAGCCACCACATTAGGAAGGACTCCTTCACAGAATAATATTCATCGTAATAACAAGCATCCGCACAAGTGAGTAGCGACGGTGTGCTGGGAAGCTAAGGCCACTTGGCTGAAGAAAGATTGCTATTTTGCCGGCTGCGCTTAAAGTGGCGGTAATTTATGCAACTGACACATTCAGTATGCAAATGCGAGTGGCCCGGAGTGTGGGGCGCGGCGAGCCGGCTGAATGGCGGATAAATAAAGTGCAATTATCAGACTATTACTGACAGAGGACGGCAAGAGGAAAGAATCATACCGTTTTCTGAAGCGCTAATTTGATTTCTATCAGTACCGTTCCTCCTCAGAACGTTTGGCGCAGACGTCAGTCTTCTGTCTTATCATACCTCTCTCATTTAGGACATTCTATACACCCCGTCTCTGTCACCCCTCTCCTCTTTCCCTCCCTCGCTCTATCGCTCTCTTTCTCTTTTCTGTACACTACAGTCATTTGTTGGTGTTTGGCGGTCATCGATAATACTGCGGTGGGGCGGTGCTGTGTTTTTTTTTACGAGTGTTGACTCGCTGGAGTGCAGACGGCTAGTGAGCATTGATCATGAGGAGACATCAGAGGGGGTTCAAGCAGGTCTGTAAATGCAGGAGGAGACACAACACAGAAGCAGCATCACACTGTCAGACTGTCACAGGAATAAATATGGCTACCTTATCCCACTAACAATTACAGTATGTTATAACAATAATAATATTTACATGGTTGAATATTTGAATATTTTTGGAAAAACATTCAAATCGATTAAACATGTCAACAAACAAAAGTTCAGAGAATTAACCTCTTGAATAACCTGCCTAAATTTGTACAATTTTAAAATACTGCTTGTTCTCAATGACACATGGCTAAATAAAGGTTGATATAATAAATACAATTGAAATGAAATTTTAGAGAACCCTGTGTGTGTGCCTGCGTGTGTGTCCGCGTGTGTGTGCGTGTGTGTGTGTGTGATTTTTACCTGTAGCAGGTGTGCTCCCAGGTGCTGTTCGAACATGTCAGTGGCCAGAGAGTGGGAGGAGCGTCGCACTGCAGGGACACAGATCAACACACACCGATCAACACACATCACATCAACACACATCAGAGACATGACAGCTAATTACTTCATTGTTAGTCTGCAAATAAAAAATATACTTTCAATCTTTTTTTTTTATAGTAGTGTAGTTCATTTAGCCGCCCTGAGGGAAATGGCTGTGTTTTTAACACACACATGTGAGTGTGTGTAGGGATCGCCAGAAATCCGTGTCCATGTGTCATTGCAAGGCTTTGGGAAATCAATACACTTTATGACAGCAAAATGAAAGTGCTGTTCTGGGTTACAACTGAACATGGAGATGGGGGGGGGGGGGTGGGAGAGCACACACATCCATCCTCCATCCGTCTATTTGTCATGTCCCTGCCATCAGTCAGCCAACAGAAGAGAAGACATTCCTGTAAACCTGTACACACATACAAATACCCCCCCCCCCCCCCCCCCCCCCCCTCTGCCACACTCACACACACACGCGCACACTCATAAATACATAGTTGCCGGACAAAGCCACAGTGCCATTGTGAGATTGGGGTCCCCTTGTGTGAAAGCATAGGAATATCAATGAGGCTGGTCCATTCAGGGCGCTGAAAGGGGGTCTGGGGCTGAGGACCTTACAGCCACAACTCAGAAGCTAACCCAGAGGGGGAGGGGACCCTGTCGCTCTGCCTGCCTGGACCCTAGTGGGGCTACGGGGAGAGGGCTGGCCCACTGGGGGTCTGGTACCAACCCCCATCATCATAACACACAGCACCGCACCCCCCCATGGGTCCCTGGAGATGCTGCTGGTGATCAGTGGCGATGAATACTGTCAGGGGGCCGGAGGAAAAGGTGGATGTGACATAAGGCCAGTGGGGCTGACGGATGAGCCTACACACAGAGCCATTTACTACAGTCACTCCACCCGCCTGCCTGCCATGCCTGGAGTCACACAATTTGGCGGCCAAGAAACCAAAACAGCCTCAACAGGGTGTGTGTGTGTTTGTCGTGATGGTAACGTTCAGGGGCCTTACGGAGGTGCAGGGTATCTCACCCTGAGAACAAAGATCCTTCTATGTTAGTGGAAATAGGTGTGTGTGTATGTGTGTGTGTGTGTGTGTGTGTGTGTGTGTGTGTGTGTGTCATAGGAGAGCTCTTAGGGTACATTCACTTTTCATTAGCTTGGCTAGATTTGCTCTCCGTGGTTTAATTTCATTTGAGGAATGGGATGAAGCATCCACGTTAATTACAGTGTGACTCGCAGGTCAATTTTGGGGTCTTCCTGATAGAAGAGAAAAATGTGATTGCTTGATTTTTATGCTTCTGTTCTATACATCATTTAGTCCAAGTTCACTTTCCACCCCCTAGCTGTCGACCTTTTAACCAAGTTATGACGTTACCATGGGAACCAAATACAGTCCGGTCCATAAAGATTAGCAAAAAATACTATCAAATAAATAATACAAATACTGAGCTATAGTGTATGTATGCAAAAAAAAAAGGGACAATTATATTATTTTATACCAATACAATCGCTCAGATAAAGAGATTTAGTTTAACATGTAATATTTAGATTTTCTCAAAAAGATCAGGATCAACACTATTGGCACTCTGTTTTCAATACCTCACCTTGCGAGGATAATGGCACTGAGTCTTTTACTAAAAACTAAATATGAGATTGGAGAACATACAGTGCCTTCAGAAAGTATTCACACCCCTTGACTTTTGCTACAATTTGTTGTGTTACAGCCTGAATTTCAAATGAATTAAATTGAGATTTTGTGTCACTGACCTACAGTACACACAATAACCCCTAATGTCAAAGTGGAATTATGTTTTTAGACATTTTTACAAATTAATAAAAAATGAAAAGCTGAAATGTCTTGAGTCAATAAGTATTCAACCCCTTTGTTATGGCAAGCCTAAATAAGTTCAGTAGTAAAAATGTGCTTAACAAGTCACATAATAAGTTGCATACAAAGATACATGCATCCTTCCTAACCTGCTGGAGAGGAAGGAAACTGCTCAGGGATTTCACCATGTTGCCAATGGTGACTTTAAAACAGTTACAGATACTAACCTAAATGACAGTGAAAAGAAGGAAGCCTGAACAGAAAAATATTCCTAAATATGCATCCTGTGTTTAATGAGCCATTCGCAGTTTCACTGTGCCGGCCGTGTGTACTTAGACTTGCATGGCTTAATCTTTGAGACAAGCATATGCTACTGGCAGGATCAACCAGGTAGTTCAGAAGTGAAATAGTTTAGGTTAGCAGCTCCTCTGTTCCTGTCCACAACCAGGACGTTCATATCCTCCTGCTCAGACAGCAGGCACTAAAGTAAAACTGCAAAAAAATGTGGCAGAGAAATGAACTTTATGTCTTGAATACAAAGCGTTATGTTTGGGGCAAATCCAACACAACACATCACTGAGTACCACTCTTCATATTTTCAAGCATGGTGGTGGCTGCATCATGTTATGGGTATGCTTGTCATCATCAAGGACTAGGGAGTTTTTTTGGATAAAAATAAACAGAATAGAGCTAAGCACAGGCAAAATCCTAGAGGAAAACCTGGTTCAGTCTGCTTTCCAACAGACAATTGGAGACAAATTCACCTTCAGCAGGACAATAACCTAAAACACGAGGCCAAATGTACACTGGAGTTTCTTACCAAGATGATATTAATGTTCCTGAGTGGCCTAGTTACAGCTTTGACTTAAATTGGCTTCAAAATCTGTAGAGACTTGAAAATGTCTGTCTAGCAATGATCAACAACCAACATGACAGAGCTTAAAGAAATTTGAAAAGAATGATGTACAAATATTGTACAATCCAGGTGTGCAAAGCTCTTAGCAATTTACCCAGAAAGACTCACAGCTGTAATCGCTGGCAAAGGTGATTCTAACGTATTGACTCAGGGGTGTGAATACTTATGTAAATGTATATTTATGTATTTAATTTCTAATAAATGTGCAAAATATTCTAAAAACATTTTTTCAGTTTGTAATTATGGGGTATTGTGTGTAGATGGGTGAGAAAAAACAGATATTTAATCCATTTTGAATTCAGGCTGTAACACAACAAAATGTAGAATAAGTCATGAATACTTTCTGAAGGCACTGTATTAGGAGGGATCTTAGACCATTCCTCCATACAGAATCTTTTCAGTTCCTTGATATCCTTCATCTGCTCTTATTGACTGCCCTCTTCAATTCAAACCACAGATTTTCAATGGGGTTCAAGTCCGGAGACTGAGATCGCCATTGCAAAATGTTGATTTTGTGGCCAATTAATTTCTTTGTGGATTTTGATGTGTGCTTGGGGTTATTGTCTTGCTGGAAGATCTACTAGCGGCCAAGTTTCAGCCTCCTGGCAGAGGCAACCAGGTTTTTGGCTAAAATGTCCTGGTACTGGGTAAAGTTCATGACGTCGTTGACCTTAACAAGGGCCCCAGGACCCCCAAACCCACCCCTGGTGAGCATGGCCAAAGGGCTCTATTTTCGTGTAATTTGACCATAGCATCGGTTCCAATCCAAGCGACAAGGCATTTACATTTAATGGATGACATGAAAATAGAACTCTTTGGCCACGCACACCAGTGGAATGGTCTAAGATCCCTCCCAATGTGTCCTCCAATCTCGTAAAACATTTCAGAGAATGGCTCAGTGAAAGTTATTGAAAACAGGGGTAGCAATAATTTTGACCCCTATATTTTTGAGAAAAAAAGATGACTTGTTAAACAAAATCTATTTCTCTGAGCAATTGTTTAAAATAATATAATTTTCCATTTTTTTAAGCATACAATTTAGCACAGTATTTGTATTATCTATTTCATGCAGTCTTTTTTGCTCATCTTTATCAAGTGGGCCGATAACATACACTACACACACATGGTGGTCTCTTTCTTTTTCTCTTTCTCTTTTTGACTCAAGTTTGCTTATTGCTAGTTGTCTTTTCATACGTGAACCTCATCACCTAGCAACTTGTTTACTGAGGTCCAATTTTGATGGTTATCCAAGAGAGTATGTGTGCGTATGTGAGTGTGTGTCTGTTACCCCATGTAGGAACAGACAGGGTTTGAGACGACAGACAGGAGAGAAAGAGCAACCATAATCGCAACGTCCTTCTCCACCGCAATTATCCTCTCACTCTGCAATCCCTCTCTCGCTCCCTCCCTCTCTCTCCCGGTTTCTCTTTCTCTGTCGCTCCTTCATTTCTTCCGCGGTCGAACATAATTTGAGTGCAATTAACTTCCCTTAAAAGCCATCGCCACTTTAAACGCTGAGAATTAGGGGAGAGGCAGACATGGAGAAAGTGAGGGAGAGCGACGGAGGAGAGGTGATGAGGAGACGGTAAGACAGAGAGGGAGAGAGAGAGATGACAGAGACAGACAGAGAGAGGCAGAGAAATGAGAGGCAGACTGAAAGTCAAAGTCAAGAGACAGCTAGAGAGAGCGAGAGACCTCACAAACAGTGACAGAAAAAATGGTTAAATTGGTATCTGGTTTCTCTTCTGGTGTCTTTAGAAGATCTTAGAGGCTTGTGTCAGTGTGTTCTGTCATTAGACGAAATCTCTACAATATTGTAAAACTGCAAAATACTGAGACGCTTCTGAAAATAGACAGGTTAATATTTTGCATTTCTACAGGGTAGAAGTCCTATCTGAAAGAGAGATTCTCTCAAAAACTCATATCACCTGTGCATATACAGTAGTCTTGAATAATACATTAAATTGAAGGTTCAGGACTAATGTACTCTACTGTAGACCCAACCCCCACCACACACACACATAATGGTTGAAAAAACATCACTACATATCTTTGAGACATTTACTTTTCCTCCGCTGGTAATCTCCCTTTCTACCACTCCTTTGTTTCCTCTTCCACCACCCCTCCATCTCTCTCTCTCTCTCTCTTCGCTCTCTCTCTCGCTCTCTATCTCTCTATCTCTCTCTCTATCATATCATCTCTCTCTCTCTCTCTCTCTCTCTCTCTCTTCTCTCTCTCTCTCTTCTCTCCTTCTCTCTCTCTACTCTCTCTCTCTCTCTCTCTCTCTTATCTCTCTCTCTCCTCTCTCTCTCTCTCTTCCCTCTCTCTCGCTGTGTGAAGGTCATGCAATTGATTTTCCTCTGTCTATTCATTTTTCAAGACTGGCTTTGAAACGTGGGAAGCAGACAAAAACCACACTACCCCCCCCCCCCCCCCCCCAATCTCTCTCTCCCTCTCCCCGTGGCCCTCACCCACCCCAACCCCCACCGCCTAAACCCCGGGAGGAAGAGAAGAGAAGGAGGAATGCCGCCACAAGCGTCCCCCTCAGAATTCCGGCTGGACTTCACACCACATTCCTCCAGTGGAATTACAGCCATGCATCACACTTCAGGTGCTTCAAAGTCTAACTACAAGTACCATGATGCAAAAGCAGGGTTGGGGTTTAGAGGTTTTTGGACACTTTACGAAATGGACCTGGGGATTTCCCACCTGGACCTGATATGCATTAATTAAATCTTAAAATATAGAGACCCGTTTCGAATGGACCCGAGGACAACTAGACCAGTTCCGTATAGACCTGGTCGGATCCAGACCTGGTTCGATCCAAGTGAGGGAAGCAGCAGAAAATAAAATGTTTAAGCTAATTTATTAACCGGAGCTGATAAAGTGCGAGAGGAGGAAGAGAGAGTTGCCACTCTAGCAGGCGGGGGAGGGGCCGTACTGTGAGCAAGTGACACAGGGAGCAGGGAGGAGGGAGAGAGAGACAAGAGACAGCAACCAACCAAGCCGCCTCGCGCTATAGTAGACTAATAGCTGCCATAGCTAGGTTATTTATCATCAAATATGATTACATAGTACCTATCTTGACTGCATCAAACCGGGAGTAGCTAGTTAAGCTAGCTAATGTTAGCTAGCTATACTAATTATTGGCATGGGAAACGTATGTTAACATTGCCAAAGCAAGTGAAGTAGATAGTAAACAAAAGTGAAATAAACAATAAATATTAACAGTAAACATTACACTCAGAAGTTCCAAAAGAATAAAGACATTTCAAATGTCATATTATGTCTATATACAGTGTTGTAACAATGTGCAAATAGTTAAAGTACAAATGTGTCACGCCCTGGCTCTGGGGACTTTTATATGTTGAGCCAGGGTGTTAGTTTCTATGTGTTAGTTTCTGGGTGTTAGGTTCTATGTTTCGTTTTCTATGTTCTTGTTCTAGTTTATGTGTTTCTATGTTGGCCGGGGTGGTTCCCAATTAGAGACAGCTGTGGCTCGTTGTCTCTGATTGGGAACCATACTTAGGCAGCCTGTTGTGCACTTGTCTTTTGTGGGATCTTGTTCCGTGTAGGTTTGTGTTTATGACCGAGGACTTCACGTTTCGTTTTGTTGTTTTGTTTTTGTTAATAGTACTCAATAAAAGATGTACGCATTTCACGCTGCGCCTTGGTCCACTCATTACGACGATCGTGACAAAATGGGAAAATAAATAAACACTGGTTGCCCTTTTCTTGTGGCAACAGGTCACAAATATTGCTGCTATGATGGCACACTGTGGTATTTCACCCAGTAGATAAGGGAGTTTATCAAAATTGGGTTTGTTTTCTAATTCTTTGTGGAGCTGTGTAATCTGAGGGAAATATGTGTCTCTAATATGGTCATACATTTGGCAGGAGGTTAGGAAGTGCAGCTCAGTTTCCACCTCATTTTGTGGGCAGTGTGCACATAGCCTGTCTTCTCTTGAGAGCCAGGTCTGCCTACGGCGGCCTTCCTCAATAGCAAGGCTATGCTCACTGAGTCTGTACATAGTCAAAGCTTTCCTTAAGTTTGGGTCAGTCACAGTGGTCAGGTATTCTGCCACTGTGTACTCTCTGTTTAGGGCCAAATAGCATTCAAGTTTGCTCAGTTTTTTTGTTAATTCTTTCCAATGTGTCAAGTAATTCTCTTTTTGTTTTCTCATGATTTGGTTGGGTCTACTTGTGTTGTTGTCCTGGGGCTCTGTGGGGTCTGTTTGTGTTTGTGAACAGAGCCCCAGGACCAGCTTGCTTAGGGGACTCTTCTCCAAGTTCATCTCTCTGTAGGTGATGGCTTTGTTATGGAAGGTTTGGGAATCGCTTCCATTTAAGTGGTTATAGAATTTAACGGCTCTTTTCTGGATTTTGATCATTAGCGGGTATTGGCCTAATTCTGCTCAGCATGCATTATTTGGGGGTTTTTCGTTGTACAAGGAGGATATTTTTGCAGAATTCTGCATGCAGAGTCTCAACTTGGTGTTTGTCCCATTTTGTGAATTCTTGGTTGGTGAGCGGACCCCATACCTTACATCCATAAAGAGCAATGGGTTCTATAACTGATTCAAGTATTTTTAGCCAGGTATGTCAAATTTTATGTTCCTTTTGACGGCATAGAAGGCCCTTCTTGCCTTGTCTCTCAGATCGTTCACAGCTTTGTGGAAGTTACCTGTGGCGCTGATGTTTAGGCCGAGGTATGTATCATTTTTTGTATGCTCTAGGGCAACGGTGTCTAGATGGAATTTGTATTTGTGGTCCTGGCAACTGGACCTTTTTTGGCCCAGGTCTGACATAATCTGTGCAGAAGATCTATGTGCTGCTGTAGGCCCTCCTTGGTTGGTGACAGAAGCACCAGATCATCAGCAAACAGTACAAATTTGACTTCAGATTCTAGTAGGGTGAGGCCGGGTGCTGCAGACTGTTCTAGTGCCCTCACCAATTCGTTGATATATATGTTGAAGAGGGTGGGGCTTAAACTGCATCCCTGTCTCACCCCACAGCCCTGTGGAAAGAAATGTGTGTGTTTTTTGCCAATTTTAACCGCACACTTGTTGTTTGTGTACATGGATTTTATAATGTCATATGTTTTTCCCCCAATCCACTTTCCATCAATTTGTATAGCAGACCATCATGCCAAATTGAGTCAAAAGCTTTTTTGAAATCAACAAAGCAAGAGAAGACATTGCCTTTGTTTTGGTTTGTTTGTTTGTCACTTAGGGTGTAAAGGGTGAATATGTGGTCTGTCGTACGGTCATTTGGTAAAAAGCCAATTTGACATTTGCTCAGTACATTGTTTTCACTGAGGAAATGAACTAGTCTGCTGTTAATGATAATGCAGAGGATTTTCGCAAGGTTGCTGTTGACGCATATCCCATGGTAGTTATTGGGGTCAAATTAGTCTCCACTTTTGTGGATTGGGGTGATCAGTCCTTATATTGGGGAAGATGTCAGAGCTAAGGATGATGTTAAAGAGTTTAAGTATAGCCAATTGGAATTTGTGGTCTGTATATTTAATATTTCATTGATATTTTTTCATTTAATTGATAAAATATACAGTCTCTCTCTCTCCTCCTCTCTCTCTTCTCGGCCTCCGATCTCTTCTCTCCTCCACTCCTCTCTCTCTCCTCTCTCCCTCCTCTCTTCTCCTTCATCTCTCTCTCTCTCTCTCTCTCTCCTCGTTACATCCAATGGCAGTGTACGGAATAAGTGACAATCATATCAGATCCGACCCAGACCTGTGACATTATTTCGAATTCTGGGTCCCAGGTCGGGTCTCGGGTATTCGGGTACCGGTGGATGACCTCTGTGTCGAACTGACCTCCATACCAGCATCATGCCCAACATGTGCGTGCGTCATACTTTCATGTTTTCTGAAGGCTAATGTATAGAATATAATTACTTATTTCTTTCCAGAGGGAACTTCAGTATAGATTTCAGACATTAGAAATCGATCAATGGTCAAATGAACATCGATTGACATGAACATCGATTGACGACTGATCGAAGCATTGAATAGATAGATGTGCTTTTCAATGAGATATCCATATCTTCCTTTCACCAGGCCTCTTCCAACGCCAGATCCTCGAAAACATATTTACCAAACAATGGTAAGAGTATGATCGTATACAGTAACTCTATGAGTCATTCAAGGACTTTCTTGTAAAATAAGCGAAATATATGGGCATATGAGACCTAGAGTCCCATTGTTTGTAAGGTACATAATATCTATGTTCATATCTCAATACAATATCAATGAGATATCATGGGTTTGTCCCATTTCAGGAGGACTTGCTGAGAGTAACGGGGAGACACACACTGGTGCAAAAAAGGATAATGCACCCACACAGACACTTCTGCAACCATTGACACTACCACGCACATACACATGCACTCCTCACAGGTGCTCTTATAAAACGTGCACACACACACACACCCACACACACACACACCTAATTGTAGCTGAGTTGTTTCCCCTCAGTAATAGTAGCAATTAGACAACCCTCATAATCACACTCTCCTCGTTATATAGCTAATTTTTGTAATTACAAATCGCACCAATAGGCTCCTCCTTCCTTTATGTATCCTCTCTCTGTCTTTGTGTCTTTGTGTATCTCTGTCTGTCTGTCTGTCTGTCTGTCTCTCTCTCTCTCTCTCTCTCTCTCTCTCTCTCTCTCTCTCTCTCTCTCTCTCTCTCTCTCCCTCTGCCTCTCTCTGTGTCTCTCTCTCTGTGTCTCTCTCTCTGTGTCTCACTTTCTGTGTCTCATTCTCTGTGTCGCTCTCTCTGTCTCTCTCTGTCTCTCTCTCTCTCTCTGTGTCTCACTCTGTGTCTCTCTCTCTCTGTCTCTCTCTCTGTGTCTCACTCTCTGTGTCTCTCTCTCTGTCTCTCTCTCTGTGTCTCACTCTCTGTGTCTCACTCTCTGGGTCTCACTCTCTGTGTCTCTCTCTGTCTCTCTCTCTGTCACTTTGTGTTTCTCTCTCTGTCTCTCTCTGTCTCACTCTCTGCGTCTCTCTCTCTGTGTCTCACTCTCTGTGTCTCTCTCTCTGTCTCTCTCTGTGTCTCACTCTGTGTCTCACTCTCTGTGTCTCTCTCTCTGTGTCTCACTCTCTGTGTCTCTCTCTCTGTGTCTCTCTCTGTCTCTCTCTCTGTCTCTCTCTCTGTCACTTTGTGTCTCTCTCTGTCTCTCTCTGTCTCACTCTCTGCATCTCTCTCTCTGTATCTCACACTGTCTCACTCTCTGTGTCTCACTCTCCCTGTCTAACTCTCTGTGTCTCACTCTCTGTGTCTCATTATCTATGTCTCTCTCTCTGTCTCTCTCTCTGTCTCTCTCTGTCTCACTCTCTGTGTCTCAATCTCTGTGTCTCAATCTCTGTGAGATGTGTGTCTGTGCGGTGCATTGGGTAAGAGAAGGACTACATAGAATATTATAGTGCTGTTACAATGCTGATACACCTACAGTAAAATGTGTCAAATGCTTTTGTTGCAGCATTGGCGACTGAGTTTTTTCGAGTCATTTCAGGTTAAGATCATGGGTAGGGTAAGGGTGAGGGCTCACCTTTGCTGTAGTGGTTCTCTCCTTCCAGCAGGGGGCACCATGGCGGGTCTCCCTGGCTGGCGAAGGTGCGCATGTGCAGGTAGCTGATGGTGAGGCGGATGACCGAGGCCTTGTCCAGCTGGCTGGTGATGGCTCCGGGGAGAGGGAGCATCTTAGCCAACTCAAAGAACTCAAAGTTCTCCTTACCGCGACGGGAACGAGCTGCATTACGAGACTTCTCCTTCCGCAGGTTCTGCAAACTGGAAAAGGAGAGGAAAGGTCCGGGGGAGAGGGGAGAGATAGTAAAGAGAAGGTAGAGGAGAATTCTAAGTGAAGAGGGGGTGTGGTTCATGCCAAAACTGGAATGATAAGGAATCCTAACTAACCGCAGAATGACCACCTGTGGCTTGGTCACATATGCTGATGATGACCGGGAACAGTCCTTTAAAAGGTAGATAATGACACCTGCAATCTCAGTTCTAATCCGCCTCCAGCAGATTGTCTGTCTGTGTAATTACAGACAGAAAGTGCTCTATCTACCAGGGTCTATTCCCCTGTCCCACTGGTACACATTGCTATTACACAGCACAGCTAGTGCCTCTGCTTCAAACACACACACACACACACACACACGCACAAACACACACACTCGCATCCACACTCTCTCTCCCTCGCTGTCTCACACAAAGCCATGTGACTGGCTGGCGGGTGCTGGGCTGCAGCAGTGATTGAGGGATCAATGGAAAGGGGGAGGGGCCGTGTGGCAGAGGGGGCCCAGGGCCCAGGTAGCCTGTCTCTCTGATTGGGTATCGACTCCCCTCAATGGGACCTGAGTGGTAGAATTATGTTGTCACGGCGACTCCACAGTTTGTGTCTGTGGTAGAATAAAGAAACAGCATTTGTCCCCCGTGTCTGTGACATCAATTCTCATTCCGGGCCTGCAGACTGCCTGCCACGGGAGGGAGGGTGTGTGTGTGTGTGTGTTTGTGTGTGTGTGAGAGAGAGAGCAATAGAGAGGGAGAAATAGAGAAAATAAAATGTGTGTGTACATATCTTTCCATGCGTGTGTGTGTGAATGTTTGTGTGTTTTTGCATGCAAGTGTGGGGTATTTGTCCTAATCAGCCAACACATCCGTGTTTCCCCGGCCGGTCTGTGTTCTCCAGGGTGTATAAACAGCTGTGTTTAGAAAAGCTCTGTCCTCCACAACGTCTCATTATTATACGAGCTCAACTCACCAGAGAGGACAATCAATACTCACCCATTGATTCTGCTTAATTTTTATATCCGCCTATAAATGACCGTCCATTAATAATTCCAGCCAAATGTACGTAATCTCCCACTAAGGGAAAGAGATTAACAGCCATGACAGCCAAGGCTACAGAGCAATAACCATTTTACTATACAGTACAGGGTGTGTGAGAGGCTGTGTGGATGTGATGGTATAGAATATGAGTAAGTGTTTGTGTGTGTTAGCACTCGCTATGCAATGCTATTGTGTGTGTGTATGTGTATTTGTATGTTTCTCACCAGGGCAGGGTGGGGGGTTTGGCCAGTAGTCCCTGTAGGAAGTCCCACTCCACGCTCACACACTTTCCGTCGCTGACGAACGGCATGGTCGCCATCCTCCAATCACACGCAGCCGCCACCTCTAACGCAGGCTGTGATTGGCCGAGGCTGTGACAGGCTCAGATCCCCTGCAGGAGTGAGGAAGAGAGAGAGAGAGAGAGAGAGAGAGAGAGAGAGGAGAGAGGAGAGAGAGAGAGAGAGAGAGAGAGAGAGAGAGAGAGAGGAGAGAGAGAGAGAGAGAGAGAGAGAGAGAGAGAGAATTAGGGTTAGTTAGGTGTACATTTCTCTATAAAAGCTTTGAAGAACATCCACTGTGATAAAAAAAGGCATTCAGTACAGAAGTCTCACTCCGGTTACCAAAGACACAGGGCAAAGCAGGGACCGTAGAAGACCCCCTGCCCCCAATTCCCCTGCCTCCCCCACACACTCACCCTCTGGCTCCCAGTTCTACCAGTGGTGCCAGTTGGCTGACTTCCCTCTCCCCTACCCCTCTCTGCCTCTGTGCTCTGGTGACCTTTAAAAGGTCATCGTGGCCTGCAGCAGCCTGGTGTCCTGCCCTGCGGCCAGGGGTGCCTTCTCCACGGCTGGGTCAACACTACCAGGGGAGGAGAACCAGGCTGGGCTGGATAGAATAGGGTCAGGCTGGGGTAGGGAGCTGGAATATGTGGAGCCACACTGAGCTGGGCCAAGCTATCACTTCACTTTGACATTTCAATTCAACTACTTTCTATTTAATCTTGGTTAACCCAGAACTCAAATGTTGCGTAATTCGGTGAGATGTTTATGTAGTCTCTCCACAAGAGAATACTTTCTAGTACATTTTACATGACTGTAACAACACATGCTACACCTTCCAATTCCCAACCAGGCATCACATCAATGTAGAATCTCTGTAGCCGACACACTGTCCCTGTGCTGTGTGTAACAATGACATTTTACATCACCTTCCCCAACCTGGCTGGCTGAGTACATCACATTGTGTGAGGGGGAAATAAAAGTCACACAGTTTATCTTCCCCTCACATACACCATATCTCTCTCTCACACACACACACACACAACCGCTCTGTCTCGTACCTGTATGTTTATCTCTTAATTGACCCAATCTGTCCTTATCTAATCTTTGTCTCTATCGGCCGTGCATCTCTATCTCTATAGACAGAAGCCAGGCAGCACATCAGCAGCGGCGTGGGCCGTAATGGACGGGGCCTCAACAGTAATTATTCAATCAGCTTCATAACCTTGTCGCAGGTTGGAAGACTATTAATGCACTCCCCCAAATGGACCGCGGCAAAGGCCTCTGACTGCAAATGTTCTCTACAGCTGTGTCATCTATGGAGGGTTATTGAAAACAACGAACAATTATTCAGATATAAAACATACTGTATGAGGCTCTAAACATACCACAGTAGCCTTGCCAAAACAGCATGACTTTGGTATACAGGACCTCAAAGTATTATGGTGTGTGCATGCATACATGTGCATCCAAGCAGCTCTGTGTGTGGGACATGTGCATGTCTGTGTGATCCTTCATGCTGTGCTGCCCTGCTCGCTGCTCTGTGGATGGCTCTCATGTAGGCAGCACAGTGCTGGGAGGGAGTGCGTTCACCATTCAGAGCCTCTCCGGCAGTTGGTTGGTCGTTGTATTAGTTAGTTCGTTTGGCTGCTCGGCTGTTTGTTTTCAGCGGGGACGTTTAATTAGGGCCTCCAGCTGTCAGAGGTTCGTTAAAGCGCTCCGACCCTCCCCAAGGAGCTCTGACTGGGGGAGTCGGGCAAATGAACACATTTAAGGCAAACAGCACGCAGACAATTGCCTGCTGGATTGCCACTTCTCCCCCTGGAGCCCCATAGAAGACCTGGCCAAGGTTGGGGGGAGCTGGGTCTAAATACCACCTACTACACTGCACACCTCGGGGAATAGAATAGTTGGAATAGAATAGGATAGGATAGAATAAAATAAAATAAAATAGAATGGAATGGAATGGATTGGAATAGAATAGAATGTTTGAAAAAAGAACAAATAAATTAGTTCCCACTTTAGCCGGCTAACATTGGCCTGTGCAGCGATACAGTTAGACCGCCTGCTTTGACACTGGGAAAGACAACAGCCGCACACCTCTCCTTATCTTCCCGTTTCCCCTCTTTCTACTCCTCTTACCTGTATGAAATAATGCCTGTCTGCCTGTCTGTCTGTCTGTCTGTCTGCCTGCCTGTCTGTCTGCTTTTAAATGTTTACTATACGGTATGACTGGTCCCTCAACCACCCGACAGGACAGCTAGTTCCCATCTCACAAAAGGAGAGAGCGAGCGAGGGACCGTAGAGGTGTGAAAACGTCCAAACTGTACAGAGGCAAAAACTCATCCATATCAATTATGTAGACTAGAGCAATATTTTACTTATAGAATGTGAAATGTTTTCTTCCAGTGGGGTTATTATCACATCGGTGAATAGACCTTGACGAGTGGCTGGAGTGTCCATAAAGAGGTAGCTCAGTATTCTGGTCTTCCAGGGGTAGACTGCTTATCATGCCATCACACGACTGATGGTGGAACATTTGGAAGCCAGATGTTTCTCTATTTACTTTTTATTCAACTGCTGATCAATCCATGTCTGCACTGGATCGCTGGACATTATGATTACTCTCTCTCTCTCTCTCAGGTTCGGTATTCCGGTCCTCAGCCGGCAAGCCACCTCCACAGAGGCGTCTGCTGCGTCTGACCTTGACTCCGGATCAAGGTTCTCTCCAACTCTCAAGGGCTTTAGCGCTTCCCTCCGCCCACTGCACTCCTCCCTGTCCTCCCCAACCCCCAACCGGGTCATTAATTATCTAATGGAATCAATACTCTGTTAGATTAGACCAGAGTGACCCTGCCCGCCTCCAGGTATCGTCACGGCAATGAGGAGGAAATGAGGGAAGGAGGGATGGAACGGAACGAATGGAGTGGCCACGAGGGAACACAAGCAGTTGGGGTTGACCATTCATTCCTAAACAGGCCTAACCTATAGCTGAATGACCACAGAACCAATAGATCTACTGTAGAACCTTCCAGAGAGAAGGATGGATGGAGAGGATGGGGTTGGATGGAGAGAGATGGAAAGATAACGATAGAGAGAGGGATGGGTGGAGAAAACGAGAGAAGGGAGATGAATGGAGAGATAGAGAGAGGGGTGGAGAGAGAGGAAATGGAGGAGAGGGAGTTTCGCTAATGTTCACCTATACTAATCGATAGCTCTCTCCCTCCTCCTCTTTTATTTCATAGGGCCTCAGTAGGCTTTCTTTGATGTCCTAGTCCTCACGGACACGCTGCAACAGAAAATCCATGCTTTTCCATGATGATGATCCACCTCGGGCTGGAGCTCTGAGATAGCATGGTAATACTGTTTGTGAACACTGTCAATACACCACAGACCCACTTTAACACCCATACATGAAAGTATCCCTGACGGCCGGTAGATTAATATCAGAGAGGGCCTAAGCAGGGAAATAAGATTTCTTATTAATACAATTACATTGAAGTTATATAAATATCCAAAAGAATAGTTAAAGGCATATGAACGTAACGAAAGGTGCGATAAGTTGAAGCGAAACTTATGAGTCAGAACTGCAACAAAATCACCAAAGATCTCCTAAACTGTCCGAAAGGAAAAGGAAAGTACTTAGGGAGATAGAGAGAGAGATGCATAATATTGCTGTACCTACGTATTCTTATCTGGGAACAGTTTAGAAGAAAGACACAAATCCACTTCCCTCGGGCAGGGAGAACATCACCACTGACCTCTAAATAACCACATGCCATAGCCCAGCACACAGTGTAATGCGCGGGTTGACTCATGACCCTGCAGTTATATACGCGGGGCGGGCGGATTTAGGGTCATGAGATATTGTGTGGGTGAAGGGCGGGTGGTTGTGGATGGGTTATTCCCACATGCGGGTGGTGCGGGTGAACAAACAGCTGACCCGTGCATCACTAGCACACAGGGTTAACACACACACACACACACATACAGTATGCACACACACACACATGCAAGCGCAGACACATTAACATACAAATACATTAAAATAGAAATACATGTATACAAATGTCAGAGAGTTCAGCCCAGTATCAGTGGCTTATAAGGGTTGCATAAGTTGTGTAGGTGTGTTCCAGTGCAGAATGGATTTCAGTGTACCTGCCCTGTACTTGGTTTAGTACATGCATGTCTATTTACGTTGTCTGTCCTTTGTTGGCAGGTGTACTGTATTTTTGTGTGGGCAGTATGTAAGAAGGATATTTACATAATTTCTGATATACTGTATCCTTGTCCTTTTATGTACAGTACAATATTTTAAAGAGAGTATGTTGGAATATCCTCAGTGCACATGGTATTTATACTGAACAAAAATATAAACATTTACATTTACATTTTAGTCATTTAGCAGACGCTCTTATCCAGAGCGACTTACAGGAGCAATTAGGGTTAAGTGCCTTGCTCAAGGGCACATCGACAGATTTTTCACCTAGTTGGCTCGGGGATTAGAACCAGCGACCTTTCGGTTACTGGCACAACGCTCTTAACCACTAAGCTACCTGCCGCCCCAAACGCACTCTCGTAATAAACGCAACATGTAAAGTGTTGGTCCCATGTTTCATGAGCTGAAGTAAAAGGTCCTAGAACTTTTCCATACACAGAAAAAGCTTATTTCTCTCAAATTTTGTGGACACATTTTTTTGCATCTCTGTTAGTGAGCATTTCTCCTTTGCCAAGATAATCCATCCACCTGACTGGTGTGGTATAACAAGAAGCTGATTAAACAGCATGATCATTACACAGATGCACCTAGTGCTGTGGACAATAAAAGGCCACTCTAAAATGTGCAGTTTTGTCACACAACATAATGCCACAGATGTCTAAAGTTTTGAGGGAGTGTGCAATTGACATGCTGACTGCAGGAATGTCCATCAGAGCTGTTGCCAGAGATTTTAATGTTAATTTCTCTACCATAATCCGCCGCCAACGTTGTTTTAGAGAATTTGGCAGTATGTCCAACTGGCCTCACAACCGCAGACCATGT